ATGTATGTATGTATGTATGTATGTATGTATGTATTTACAGTATTTACATACTGCTTTTCTCACCCTGGGGGAACTCAAAGTGGTTTACAAAAGATAATGGCAACATTCAATGCCTTACATACATAAACCAAATCATAAATCAAACAGCATATGACTAAACATAAAATACAATAGGACAAATTCATCATAAGATAATAGGACATTTAAACATGAAGTTTAAAAATTAAAAACACCTAATAAAAACATTAAAATCACATTATCCAAACTCATAGACCGAGCTATTCAAGATGTTGATTACACATGTGCTGTCGCACGCTGGGCCTGTGCATAAAACTGTAGACAGGACATAAATTTTGTGTGCCCAACGGGACGCCGGGGCTGCCTCAGATTAAAGGCTTTTGGATTTCCTTAAAACAGAGTCTCTAGATTGCTTAAAAGTTCAACAAAGTTCTTTATTAATGAAAACAAACAGGTACTTCAAGGCTTTCTTAATAGTCTATTGGCTCTCTCAATCTTGTTCACTGGGAACAGGCACTATCTTCATAAACTGTAATTTAACTAATGGGGAAATCTTTAACTTCTAATCTGGGCAGTTTGTCTTTGCCTCTGTTGGAGTGGAGCCCCTGCACCCGGTACCAACTGCATCTGGCTTCTACGAGTGGCCCTTACCAAACAGAGCTTTGTAGACTTCCAAGGGAAAAGGAGTTCAGGTTTCGGTGATGGCTGGCTGAAGTCCCTCAGCAAAGGAGCTGTAAGGCTGCAAAATCCTCAGCCAAGCTGTGGGGCCTTTTCTCTCTGGCTAAGCTGTAGGCTGTATATCTCCCCGGCCAAGCTGTAGAAGATGAAGCTTTCTACAGGAGCTCTTGGTATTATGTCCTGCATGGAAAGCTTCTCTGTGTGTGGACTGAACCCAAAAAGGCTCCTATTCCCTCCAAAAACCCAAAAAGGGAACCTAACTATAATTGACAGGTGGCTTGCCCTATGATTGCAGCCAAAAGAAGCCACCTATCTGCAGAGTCCCTGAAATTTAGGACTACAACAAACATTAAATGCAAAGCAAACAAAATTGGAGCTCCTGGTACAGCTGTACCTGCACAACACGTATTCCATATTTACTTCTTGTACTGCGTTACTTTACTAGTCAAAAGCTTGGTTTCATTTTGTTACATGCTGTCTTGACATTACGGCCTCTCCATAAACTGAAACGATTTTGCAATGAATCGCAGCAGCGTTCATGCCCTTAGCATTGAGGTAGTGTATTACAGCGCTAAAAACTTCGCAGTTGGAGTAAAACGGACTGAGGATGCTCATCTCTAACCTTCACCACAACAATGTGTCAATGGCATAGCTCGTTCACTTCCGCTGGTTTCCTGTTACATGGCAGTGATACCAACTTGATATACTCACCACAGAATAAAACGCCTTGCAGTGTATATTGTTCAACAAAGACTAGCTGATCCACCCCTCCAGAAGACTGTTGGTGAATTTCTCACCTCAAAAGTTGAGCTTTTTTTGAGCCTTTTTCCATAATATGAACCCAACCGCCTGACGAAGGCTCTTGTGAGTCAAAACCGGTTGCAGGTTGGAGTCAACTCATACTACTGGAGTCTGCTCATATGTAATAAAGAACAGGACATTTACTCACTCGAAGACTTTGCTTTATACTTCAAGAAAAGAACTAGTTGTTTCTACTCAATGTGAATGTGGCAGTCCAGTTTTTTGATATGTGTATTTGTAATATATACATTGAATTAATTTAGCTACTTTCACATTACCACAATCAGTGGATTTTGGTCTCCACAGTTTTAGGGGAACCCATTTTTCTTTTTAGTGATACCAACTTCCCCCGAAAAAAATTCCGAGAGCTACGTGCCTTGTAACCTTACTTTTCGGATGACCCTCATACAAAAGAATAACTGTTTAAAATGATGATAATATCCAGAGAATGGAAGAATGAAAAATAAAAGGACTATGGAATATTGGAATATTTATGATCAGGTCTTTCGCACAACTAAGACTCGTGCGCCAACTGCGACCGTACCTCACGAAGGCTGATCTGGCTGGGGTGGTCCATGCCTTGGTCACCTCTAGGCTGGATTACTGTAATGCGCTCTATGTGGGGCTGCCCTTGAGAACGGCTCGGAAATTCCAACTTGTCCAACGAGCAGTGGCCAGGATGTTAACTGGTGCTCCCTACAGAGAGAGGTCAACCCTCCTGTTCAAGGAGCTCCACTGGCTGCCGTTTATCTTCCGAGCCCAATTTAAGGTGCAGGTGCTTACCTACAAAGCCCTGAACAGTTTAGGACCAGCCTACCTGCGTGACTGCCTCTCCATCTACGAACCCATGCGTTCATTATGCTCATCTGGAGAGGCCCTGCTCGTGATCCCGCCTGCGTCGCAAGCACGTTTGGTGGGGACATGGGACAGGGCCTTTTCCGTGGTGGCCCCCCGTCTCTGGAACACTCTCCCCAAAGATCTTAGACAGGCCCCTACATTGGCAGTCTTCAGAAAGAATTTGAAGACCTGGCTGTTCCGATGTGCCTTTCCCAATTAGGAAATCTCCAATAACAAGTCCCAGAAGCACTTTATTAGAATTACGACTGCCGCACACTGCACACTGCACTTGCCCTATAATATCACCTGTCACATCAGCACTTTTTAATCCTGTACCCTCTACTCTGGCCTGGCCCAGTTTTATCTTGTTGATGTATTGTTTATTGCTTGTGGTTTTGTTGTTTTAATACTGCTTTAATTGTTTTTAATTTGCTTTAAGTGTATTGTTGTGTTGTGTTTTGAGGCCTTGGCCTTTGTAAGCCGCATCGAGTCCTTCGGGAGATGCTAGCGGAGTACAAATAAAGTTAATAATAATAATAATAATAATAAGGTCCAATCCGAAATCATAGCATTTATAATTTGGAAGGATACACAGGAGGATGAAACAGAAGAAATTAAAAACAAATTGGAGACATTGTAGAATGGATAGAAAGAGGTGAAGCCAATGTAAATATTGTACAGAAATTAAGGAAATGTTAAAGATAAAGATAGAGGGTAAATATGTGGTCAGAGGGAAGGGTGATGGGGGATGGGGATGAGGGGATTAACAATAAAAATGTCATCAAAGAGGTGCAGACAAAAGAAATGTTCCATGAAAATGAAGTGTGTATAATAGGGCTGGGCGGTTTCGTTTCGTTAATTCGTAATTCGTTAATAATTCGTTAATTTTTTCAATTA